TTTGATAAAGGAGAAGCAGGACAGAGAGGTCGTACCAATTTAGTACAACACAAAATTGATACCGGAGATGCACGACCAATCAAACAAAATCCGAGAAGACTTCCGCTCGCCAAACGTGAAGAAGCTGATAAAATCCTTCGAGAAATGAAAGAAGAGGGTGTCATCGAACCATCTAACAGCCCGTGGACATCGCCGGTAGTACTAGTAAAGAAGAAAGACGGTACCACCAGGTTCTGTGTTGATTATCGGCAGCTCAATAATGTTACCAAGAAGGATAGTTATCCCCTGCCGAGGATAGACGATACTCTAGACACGCTGGCGGGGTCAACGATATTCTCTACGTTAGATCTGAAGAGTGGATATTGGCAAGTCGACATGGCGCCGAAAGACAGAGAGAAGACAGCGTTCTCGGTGGGCTCCGGACTGTGGCAATTTACCGTCATGCCTTTTGGATTGTGCAACGCGCCAGCTACCTTTGAGAGACTAATGGAGTCTGTGTTAAAGGGACTATCCTGGACTACCTGTTTAGTGTACCTGGATGACATCATAGTGGTTGGGAAATCCTTTGACGATCATCTGAAGAATTTGGAAGAAGTTTTCAAGCGACTAGGGAGCTCTGGTTTGAAACTTAGCCGCAAGAAATGTCATCTGTGTCAAGAAAGGTACACTACTTGGGCCATGTAGTCTCCTCCCAAGGAGTTGCGGTAGATCTACAGAAGACCAAGACAGTGGAAGAGTGGCCAATACCTAAAGATAAACATGAACTACGAAGCTTTTTGGGACTATGCACATATTATCGCCGCTATGTACAGGGTTTCGCCACCATCGCAAAACCATTGACCAGACTTACCGAAGGCGAGAGGCGTTTCTCTTGGGACTCAGATTCTGACGAGGCATTCCGAAAATTGAAGAAGGACCTGACTAGTGCGCCCATACTTAGCTACCCTCTTGGCAACGGAAACTTTATATTGGATATCGACGCTAGCAATGTTGCGTTAGGCGCTATTCTGTCTCAGATCCAGGATGGTCAAGAAAAAGTCATTGGATATTTTAGTAAGACCTTGTCAAAACCGGAAAGGAACTACTGTGTAACCAGACGAGAATTACTAGCAGTAGTTAAAGCAGTGGAACACTTCTACAAGTATCTCTATGGAAGAAAGTTCTTGTTAAGAACAGACCATGCTGCTTTGAAATGGGTGTTGCAGTTTAAGAATCCTGAAGGGCAGGTAGCTAGATGGATTGAACAATTACAAGAATTTGACTTCGACACAGAACATCGAGCTGGGGCAATCCATTGGAATGCCGACGCACTTTCCAGAAGACCTTGCGCTAAGGACTGTAAGCATTGTTCCCGAGCAGAAGAGAAAGAAGTGAAACTCCTAAGAACAACTGTGGTTAATGATAGTTGGCAACCCGAAGATCTTGCAAATGACCAAACCAGTGACCCAGAATTAGGTTTAGTAATTAACTGGAAAAACACAGGCCAAAGACCAACGTGGGAAGAAGTTTGCAGATATTCGCCGAACGTAAAGTCGTACTGGGCCAGTGGAATTCCTTGGTAATAGATAACGGACTACTTCGCCGTGTGATCGAGAGACCGGAGGGACAAGAAGAGAGAAGCAGATCGTCATTCCAAAGAAGAGGGTCCCAGAAGTCTTGGAGGAAGTTCACAATGGAACCAGCGGAGGACATCTTGTGTTACCAAGACACTTGGCAAGCTGCGTGAACGGTTCTACTGGGTGAACTGCAAAGAAGATGTGAGGGCCTGGTGTAAGAAATGTGACATTTGCGCAGCCATTAATGGGCCACAAAAGCGTGGTAAAGCCCCTATGCGCCAGTACAATGTTGGTAGTCCCTTCGAACGAATAGCGATCGACGTGGCTGGTCCTTTCCCGGAGACGAACGATGGCAACAAATACATTGTGGTAGTAATGGATTACTTCAGCAAATGGGTCGAGGCCTACGCGTTGCCAAATCAAGAAGCGTCCACGATTGCTGATGCCCTTGTTAAAGAATGGATCTGCAGGTTTGGTGTTCCCATGGAGCTTCATTCAGATCAGGGAAGAAACTTTGAGTCCAATCTGTTCCAAGGCGTCTGTGAAGTCCTGAACATCCGCAAGACCAGGACGACTGCTCTACATCCACAATCCGATGGGATGGTTGAACGCATGAACAGAACTATCAACCGTTATCTGGCCAAAGTAGTCTCTGACCACCAAAGAGACTGGGACAAATTTCTTCACCTGTTCCTGTTGGCCTACCGTTCATCCGTCCAAGAATCTACAGGGCAAACTCCAGCCAGCATCGTTATGGGACGGGAAGTGCGCCTACCCTGTGATCTGAAATTTGGTTGCCGACCGGGAGAAGAAGTCGCCGGAGAAGATTATGTCCACACACTACGTCAAAGGATGGACGACATTCATCAGAGAGTCCGCCTAAATATTCAAAGTGCTAGTGACCGAATGAAGGAACACTACGACATTCAAGCTGAGCATGGAGGATACCAACCAGGGAAGTTGGTGTGGCTATATAACCCGCAGAGACGTCGTGGGTTATCTCCGAAGCTACAATCCTCGTGGGAAGGGCCATACGAAGTCATGGATAGAATTAATGACGTCGTATACCGTATCAGAAAATTGCCAAAAGGAAAACCGAGGGTAGTCCATTTCAACCGTTTGAGCCCCTACCAAGGCGAAATAGAAGATCGTGCTGGGACCGTGAGAACCTGCAGCTTTGATCCCCCTGATTCGGAGATGTCCTTTGACGATTTCATGGCCCGATACAACAGCAGTGAGAAGGCTCGCTATGGTGTAACCAAAGAAGATCAACGAGACCTCTTTTCCGTGCCTCCTGATTATTCGCTCGCTCATTGTGTGGCTCGAGATTTGCGGATGTCCAGAGGAATCGCTGCGACGTTCAATGAGAAGTTTGGGCGTGTCGGAGAACTACGCCGACAGGATCCAGAGGTTGGAAGCGTCTTGAGGCTAACCGACAATGCACATGGTCAAGCAAGGCACATCTTCTACCTGGTCACCAAGGAATGGTCCCCGAGTAAGCCGACTTATCTCAATCTATGGAAGACCCTGATTGAACTGAGAGAAGCCCTGCTAAACAACAACATTGCACGATTAGCCATTCCGAAGCTGGCGTGTGGACTCGATGGTTTGAGTTGGCGTACAATCCGGAACATGATTGAAGTCTTGTTCAGATTTACGGGAATCGAGATCCTCGTTTGCTGCTACAACCCAAAGCTGAGATCGGGAGAGAAAACTGTAGACTGCTATTTCTACCAGACTTCGCAATGTACCAGGGGCCAGCTTTGCAAATACCTTCATTCACCGTGTACATCTCGGGACGAGCATGTACCTAAGAAGGGGGCAGTTTTGCGACCCGTGTGGACTCGACCTAACCTAACTATATGTCCCGTTCTCAGATGACCTTAACATCGCATTAAAGAATAGACACAGTATGATTCATTCGTTCGAGAAAAATCGAGTCCCACTGGAATGGACTAGTACATACGAGAACATTCGAAAACCTTCTCTACGCATCTAACGATCTATGGACTATTCTAGAGTTCTTTACCTGTCGGTATAAAAGCCGGCGGCTGTGGCCTACAGGGGGCAGTTATAAATATACCAGTTGAGTTGACGCGCTAAAATTCAAAATAAATTCTTAGTTATAAATCGTTTGTAAATAGTTCTATAAGTCTTTTATCGTTATTGTTTTTGTTAATTAGTGTTAAATAAATAGTGTTTAAATAAATTGTGACTTTCTATCCACACGGAACCGACGAAAAACTTAACAATATGTCAGCTTTTGACATAATCAATTTAAAAAGAAATAGCGGGGGGTGTATCATTTGGGTAAAAAATGTATTTTTTATTTTTTTAAATTCAAAATGACACAAGTTGAAATATATGTCATTCTATTCAGAATATCATTTCTATCAAATAAAGTAAAAAATACCAAGAGTACCATTTAAAAATCAAAACTTGTAGTCATTTCCGGTGAAACAGGAAGTGTACGGAACTAATAACTACGTCAATCAAACCTCATGTGTTGTGTCATGTCATATGCTAAAATACCAAATCCCAAATCTGTTTTTTGCAATGACTAAAGAATCCAAGGACAAATAACACCCGAGAGCAAATTGTGACGATGACACCAAACAATGCCGTGGCACATATTTTTCTTAACCTAGCTGTTTGAAGCAATATTTATATTTTTTGATAATTGTTTTGACTACGCCTATGGTGTATCATTCTAATTAATTACGAAAAAAACGTATTAAAATGTTAACAAAAGGTACAAAACTAGTATCGACGTATAGCACATATCAAGTACATATAGATGTTAATTGAAATTGAAGAATAATTATCGAATTCAATAAGAAAACGCTAAAAAGTTGGAGTGGACTGTTTATTTACCTATGAAACGTAACTCCTGGCTCCTTCTTATCGCTGCTGCTTTTACACTTGAAAGGTGAACAACTAATCACCATTGTAATAAAGTTTATACAAAATTTACTACACACAAACTATAAAAAATCGCTAAAATTGTCGCTGGTGACCAAATGATGACTCATTGTTTGCCACCAAAACAAAAAAAAGGTCACAAATTCTGCTGCAGCCCGTATAGGGGCGTTACATGTCCTTATATTCTTTAGTCATTGGTTTTTTGACTTAAAAAAAATAAAAAGTTATAGGAGGTGAGCTATTTTTGAAAAACATCCGGTATAGACACCTCAAAACTCTACTACTTAAAAAATGTAATTATTTTTTTAAACGTAATGCCCTCTCACTGACAAACAAAGGGCTTTTGTATCAAGGTAAATTGTGCCCAACTAACTTGGTGTGAGTCTAAAAAACGTATTAGTTTTATGTCCACGGAATATCATTGACACTCTGTATTAATGTTGTATTCTTGTTCAGCTTCTTGTTGATAAAATTATAAAGACAAAAAAGACGTGCGTGCGCAAGATCATCTTAAAGTTATAAAGGCGCCAAAGATCTTCTTCGGAAGCAGAAAACCCGCGTCAGTAGCCAAATACTAACAACATATTATTACCAATCAGCATTACTGCACAGCATACTTATTCTACTCCATTTCCAACAATTTCTAATTTTTACAAAAGAGACTTTAAACTCAAAATGAATTCAAAGAAAATCCTATTCGTGTCCTTAGTAATAGTGGTGATATCAGTGGTTGTAAATTGTTATCCAGCAGAGGTAAGTAATAAACAAATATTTTTGTTGGTATTGGGGGAATATTCCAAACTAATTTATATATCTAAATATTCAACTTAGGTTCCATAATATAAATAAATATATTAAACATTTAACTAGCTATATTTATGAAATATAGTCATTAATAATTAATATTTGTACCAGGTTATTGTAAATAATAAAATAATCAAGAAGGTTTATAATCTAGGTGCTTTGTATAGGGGAGATATGGAATTCTTCTAGGATTATAATATATCAATTATTATGTTTTTTTCAAAGTTCCTTTGATCATAAAACTTCTTGATCATACGGTATATTTTTTAATATATTTTGTTATTTGCAAAAAAAACTGAGAGGTAGGTACCTAATAATTTCTAAAATTTAAAATTCTCGAAAATATTCATGGAATTATTTTTTATTTACATTTTAATTCATTGGTAAGAAGAATCTTAAAAAAAATATTATAAAAATACATTGAATGTTTTTATAAATACAGATATTTTACGATAAAAGAAACACTGATAAACAATTTTTTTTATAAACAATTTGATTTAAACAAATAATGTACGTATATATGTTCCAAGCTAGGTATATAAATATTTCTCCAATTTTCGAAAAATATTACCGAGTGCAAATATTTTTAGGGGTTATGATTTGAGGTTTTTTTCGCGAAATTATTTTTGGAAAATTTGGATTTTTTTTAGTTTTTAGTTAAAAAAAACATAATTTCTTGATAATATGGCAACATAGGTACGTAGTAGATTAAATTACAAGAAAGAAAACCCAGAAAATATCAAGTGGTTCTCAAAATTTAAGAAAAAAAAAACATTTTTTTTGGAAATTTTCGAAGTAAAATAACTCGGTTATTTAGGTCTTATTTGAAAAACGGTAAAGAGAAAATATGTTTCTTTTATCGAGATCTATCAGCCCCGAAAGTATTTGCACTTATTTAAGACTCACCCTGTATAATTTATTATCCAAGTAACAATACAGGGTGTTCCTAGAGAACTGCAATATCTAGATCGTCGAAGTCTTATTGCACATAGAAAAATATACGCTTTAAAACTAAATTTAAATAACTTTAACCACATTTAAAGTTATTTAAATTTAAATCCCTAAATTTGACGTTTAAGCAATACATATTTCTTTGACAGGGTGTTTCGAAAAAACTTCGAAAAAAAATTCTCTGCCATAAATTTTGACCCTAAATCAAATGGTGATACTGAAAAATTATTTGGAAAAGCGGAAAGCGTAGTTTTTGCAAGGGTAGGGTTTTTTTTTCGTGAATAACTTTTTTGAGGTTATTTTTTTGCAACGTACGTTCGTTTTTTGAAAACTACACATTTTTTCCTACACAAAAGATACTCTTGTTGCACATCGCCGAGAGCGATGGTTTTCGAGAAAATTGAAGACAAAGAGTTTGCTCTGATGGGTTGCTAACTGGTTAATCATCATAAACTTATGAAAGTTATGGCGGTTCAAAAGTAACCAAGTAGTTATCAAATAATTAATTGAAAAATCTTATTGCTTTAAAAAACGAAGTAATCCAATTACCAAAATTCCTTATTAAAATAATGCATTCCTTAATTCATTATTAGTAAATGTTCAAAGTGACCACCATTCATTTCAATGTAGACATCTGATCTTCTTCTCCACAATCTGCGTAGGTACCCTGTGGAATATCCTTGGTGTTGTCCGAATTTGATTGGAACAATCAATAATGCGTTGCCGTAGTCGCTCTTCAGTATTAATGGGCACTGAGCAAACCAAATTTTTTTAAAACCAAAAAAGTTTATTTCGTTTTTAAAGCAATAAGATCTTTTAAAAATCATTGAATCAAAATTGAAATTTTGATTTTCCAATTAATTATTTAATAACTACTTGGTTACTTTTGAACCGCCATAACTTTCTTAAGTTTATGTTGATAAACCAGTTAGCAACCCATAGAGCAATCTCTTTGCTTTCAATTTTCTCTAAAACCATTGCTCTGGGCGATGTGCAACAAGAGTACTTTTTTTGTAGGAAAAAGTATGTAGTTTTCAAAAAATGAACCCACGTTGCAAAAAAATAACCTCAAAAAAGTTATTCACGAAAGCCCTACCCTTGAAAAAACTACCCTTTCCGCTTTTCCAAATAATTTTTCAGTATCACCATTTGATTTAGGGTCAAAATTTATGGCAGAGGATTTTTTTTCCAAGTCTTATCTCATTTTTTAAGCCTACAATTTCAAAACAACCGTTTTTTAAATTCACCCTTTCTGTGCCCCTAACTCCCTTAATATGCATTTTCCGCCCTATACTTATAAGAACTTTTTTTACTATTTTTGGGAGTAATATCACCCCCAGAATATTTTTACACCATTTCAATGACACCCTGTATAACATAAATTAGGATTGATTGACACGTATACTGTTATGAGCAAACACCGATTTCGGCCAATGGACGGAAAATATGGCCAAAACGCGTTTTGGCCGCCAGCCACTTGCCAATGTTCGAAATATCGCTTTCCGGTCGTCTAAGGGAGAACAGAACGCGTTCGGGGCCTTTTGCATTTACCAGAACGCATTCTGACTCTCCCAAATCAGTCCAGAAGCATTATGGCATGCGTCATTGTCAGGACGAGTCAAGCACACAAATATTCAATGGTCAATGCGAAAAAATATTTTTATTGTTTATGTAAATACAACATACAAACCTTAAAACTAACATTATTTTTAAAAGAAACGTGAAACATTAAAACGCGGAACAAAAAAAACAATTTTCATCTTATCTATCTACTTATTTTTACACGAACTATTGTTGTGACATTTACTGTTACATACTATTTTCTTCGCCCTACATGTGCACTTCTTGTCGACGCAATAGCGCTTGCAATTACATTGTACAAAGCCCTGTTTTGATCCAGATGCTAAACCAGAAGCTGTACGGAGAGAAACAGACGTTGATGGAACTGAAGAAATGTCGATAAAGTTCGGCCAAAGTAAATCTCATTACGACAGTACAGCGACTGCAAAGTTCCATCTTTCGTTCCTAAAAATTAATTAAAAAAGTTATAATGTTAAATAGCTCACATACATTTATTACACACCAAGCTGATAAAGTCCAGAGTCGTTAATACTGAGTTTACAACAGCTAACACATTTCTCGGGGCAAGTCTACCTCTGTCAACATCAGGTACTCGTACAATAACAGTTCTTCCTACATCTATAGGTGGTAACTTTGAATTCGAAAGGGCAATCATTTTCTCGGCTTGTTTCTCCAGTCCTTCTTTAGCCTCGTCCCGGACAATAGTTATTTTTTCAGTTCGTAGACATCGGTCACATGTAATTTTCTGCTCACTCTCTCCATTTGTTTCGTTAGTTTTTCCGCAAATGATATGAATAGGTAGGTAACAAACTGAACATTGATAAGTATCTGAAATTTCTTTTTCGCATATTGTACAAAATTTTTTCTCTCGTTGATCTTCATCATGTTTATCTTCACTTTCGTCTGAATTCTTCTGATCGCACAACTTTTGCAGCTCTTCTTCTGTTTCGATGTTAGACAAAAGTTCTTCAGGAAGTGACGAATCCTTGAGACCGATCTTCTGAGGCGCGCCGAACATAGCTTCATAAGGACTTTTCATTATTCCTGTATGCAGAGAACGATTTTTATTGCTTTGCACGAATCGCAGCCCCTCAGACCATTTTGTTGTGTGTTGATCGGCTAACCATGTAACCAGCATGTCCCTTACATCTTGATTTGATCTCTCTACGGACCCTTGACTCTGCGAGTGGCGAGGTTTTCCATAGACCAGCTTTAATCCGGGCCACATTTCAGCAAGATTTTTGATTATACGGTTTGCAAATTCTCTACCATTGTCGCTTTGTAGAATCATAGGTGCGCCCAATAAACAGAAAATATCTAATAAATGATAGGCAACTTCTTCAGCTGTCTTTGTTTTCAATGCTCGTAGTACGGTGAATTTTGTTAAATGATCCTGATAGTTTAGGATGAAACGAAATTCTAAGTCTGGTTCACTTTGCATGTCAATTAAATCTACTTGACAGCGAGAATTCATTTCATTTGTCAAAATTGGCTTAACCACTAGTCCTTTTCGTAGAACTTTCTTTTTTAATTGGCATTGCTTGCAAAGTAATAAATAAATTTCAATTATTTGCCGTGTTATATTACAATATTTTCTCTTGAGTTCAGAATCCATAACTAAAATAAATAAAAACACTTGTAGATCTTGAGTCCATTAAAAAAACTGAAAAAAAAACATACCTCGTAGTCTCTTATGTCCTGCCCCCACATGAGCGGAATGAATAATGTCAAATAATTCGTGGGTCATGCAAAAATACCGTAGTTCGGCAGTTTCGTCTGTCTTCCTTTCAATTAGTTTTTCGGTTTCGCCAATTTTTAAAATATCATACCTTTTTAATCGTCGTCTTTGTTTCGAAGATATTGTATCACCGTTGCTTTTTACAAGCTTTTGCCGCCTTCACCTCCGTAAGTATTTGGTCGTATCTTTCTCTTGTAAAAATATTGCTACGATCATTGCTATCACTTATAACTTTTTGCAGTTCATCATTAAAACGTAATTTAAGGTCCTCCATGATACTTTCTAGCGACTTTCTAACCCGCACAAAGATCAAATACTAAATGAATGCTCTAGGCTCTAGCTCCGGTGGTATCGTTTACAAGCTGAGACTCGCATAAAATCGGCGACGCATTATGGCAATCGCAGTAGAAAACAGAACGCGTTCTGGCAATTGCAGGTGGCCCAAAACGCGTTCTTGGCTTCATTAAATAGCCAGAAAGCGATAATTCGGACATTGGCAAAATGGTAACAGCCAGAACGCGTTTTGACCATATTTTCCGTCCATGGGCCGAAGTCGGTGTTTGCTCCTAACATATATACCAAATGTTTGTACCAAATAATTCGTACAAAAAATGTTTTTCCAAATATGCTAATAAGCCACACTTGTTTCATTTGAAAAAAATTAGATATGATTAAAATAACGATTTGGGCATCTTTTAACCGGCCAGGACAAGACACAAAAACATTAGACGATCAAATCTATTTTCCAAGACACTATACATTCTATTCAGAGTGTCATTTTCTATCGAATAAAGTAAAAATATACCGAGGGTGCCATTTAAAAATCAAAAGTTGTGGTCATTTCCGGTGAAACAGGAAGTGACCAAAAACAATTGAATACTTCAATCAATCCTATTTTATGTCATATTACTAACATGCAAAATCTCATTTTTTTATCTGAAAAAATAAAAAAAGTTATAGGGGTGAGCCACTTTTGAAACGCATCCGGCAGAGTATTTGACATAAAAATTCATAAAATTTTACAGATAATTTAAATATGTAATAAAAAATGGGGGTACCAATTTATAATAAATAAATCAACTCCTTCCGATTGTCCGGCGGCACTTCCTGAATTTTCGGAAATGCCACCATTTGAAAAAAATTATAATCGATAAATCTCGTTGTGCAACAACAATGATGTACCAAAAATCTCCGATCTAGATATTGTAGTTCTTTAGAAACTTCTAATACACGCTCAGCCTGGTATAGCATGGGTTCTTATTTAAGTTAAGTCGTCTACACGTAACATTTTACCTGTCAGTCTTACCTTTTCAGTCAATACATACTAAATAAAATATGTGTACAAACGAAAAAAATACCGTTTTACTTGAACTTTGTGAAATTTTGCCTTTTTGCAAATGTAATTTAAATTTTTGTAGTAAAATTCCATGTCTTTTCTTTTTTTTTAATCCGTCTTACCTGACAGGTAACACGTTATGTGTAGCCGGGACTTTAGAGGCAAGTTTAGAGGCGAACTGGGCGTCGCTTTGTGCTGTGACAATTTCAAATATTAATAAAATGTCGAAAAAATGTTAACACACATAAAGGAGGGCGCATAATTACGTGGTTGTTGGGTGCAATAGCATTCCATAACTCAATCTCCCGGATATTCAACTCCGGTAGAAGTTTTATTTTTATTCCAAATAAATTTCTGAACTAATGTAGATATTTGGATGATAATTGGTGTGTGGGAGTTTTTTGACATGAGAAATTTGATTTTGATGCTAATATGGCTCCTACTTGTATGGGGCGCTACCTACATATTTTTAAGCTGTTTTGAAGAGTAATAACTTTTCGTCCGTACCTGTATTAGACTTCTGAGTGAAAAAATATACATTTCCGCTATTTTTAACGTAAAAAGGTCTCTTGGTAAGAATCGCTAATGGGTCTCAAGATACTTGGAATCGAAATAATCAATACATGTTACAATTGACAAAAATTATACATGTTGACTGGATAGTTATTAGTCTGAAATAATAAATTTTAAGAAATGTTCCTGTTGTATATTGAATCGTATTTTTTTCTAGAAAAATTAATAATTAACTTAAAAAAATTAAAGTTCCCAAATTTATCATTTCATTCAAATAACTATCTAGTCAACATGTTTATTTTGTATTTTTTTGTCAATAATGACAAATGTATTGTTTATTTCTCCAAATATCTTGAAAACAGTTGCTCCTAGCGATTTTTACCGATAGATTTTTTTAGGTAAGTTACGGAAATGTATATTTTTTTGACTCAGTAGTTTCGTACGCACGCATTTTGAGGGCTTACGACCAAGAAAAATCAAAAATCTTCCTGGATTTAAGTAAGAACAATCTTCGGATTGTCACGGGTTTTTTAACAGGACACTGTCTCCTCAATGAACACCTCAGTAGATTGAAAAATTTCGATGTCAAAATAACTTTTTAAAAAAGAGAATTTATACCTCTTGATTTTTCTTTCGTGCTTATTCATTTATGCCCTGTATAAGTTAAGGCGACATCTGCGTCCGCAGTGGCTTAAATTGACCACATTTTTTCGGTTATTATTACGAATATTTGGACTATGTCTAGTTATGGCTCAATTGGCGAGAAATAAGCAGTTTAGCACATTATTCCGTGACGTCATCTAGTCAGACTTGCACCGTTGAACTAATAATTAACTAAACTATTTTTTATTGATGTTGCATAGAAACATTATTATCAACGTTGGACGCATCGTGTAGAACCGGCTTTATAGTATGTAATAGAGTAGATAATGGTAAATCATCTTCAATCTTGCCATCTGGTTCTTCTTTCTCTTTTGTTAACTTAGATAACAAAATCGATATTTTCTTCTTCTAATTCTTTCTCAGCAGCTTCATTCTTGGATGTGCTTCTCCATTTTGTAAATTATAATTTTGAGCGATTTAAGTAAGTTTTCCGACCTTTTCGCAAGTCTGTTTATTCTTGGTTGATGAACAAATCCATTAGTACTAAAAAGGTTCTTTCGGTTGCGGGTGTTGTCGATGGTAAATTTAAAATATCGACAGCCAACATATTAATTTTAGAGCTGGGCGCATGAAAAAGAGTGAAGCGGAAAAATGCAATATTTCCAATGTTACCGATCATGCCGTAATATTACGTAATATTATCAAAATTACCGGTAATAGTACCGCAGTAATATTATCCTTTATACAGGGTGTCCCAGAAATAAGTGCAAGTATTTTAACTGGTAGTATCGTTCAACCTGAGAAACACGCCTATGAGTTTTTCTTCGCGAACATTTTTTTTTGAATATTCGAAATTTTTTGAAAAATTTTTTGTAAATTTTTTTAGTTTAGAGTTAAAAAACATAATTTCATGATAATATGGCAACATAGGTATTAGATTAAATTTACAAGAAAGAAAATCCAGAAAAGATCCAGTGGTTCTGAAAATTTTAGCAAAAAATCCTTTTTTTTTAAATTTTCAAAGAAAATTAACTCCGTTATTTTGGACTTATTTGAAAAACGATAAAAGGAAAATATGTTTTTTTTTCGAGATCTACCACCCCTTAAAATACTTGCACTTATTTCTGGGACACCCTGTATAATTACCTAATTAGGGCAAAGTTGTGCATTAATGTGCCTAATAATATGCCGTTTAAAAACATTGTATATGTAATTTTAGCTGATAATAAAGAGTAATAAAAACTTAAAAAGTCAGCGAAAACCGTATCTTGATGTCCTCTTTCAAACCGAAGATATTAACAAAATTATAATAAATACGAAAAAAATAAGCCCTTAATTACCTTATTTTTATAACACGGTTACATTAACCCTCTCGATTATGACCATTCTAATTAAAAATAAGATAGAAACGATTAGTTTATTCTAAAATCGGCATTATACCAGAATATCATAATACCAGATGTATTAAGATCTAATAATTAAGATATCAATGACAGTAAATAAGAAACGACGCCTCAGTGAAGTCATGGCAGGCTTTGGAAAAAAGTAGCTTTTGACGTAATAGTATAAACGTCAAAGTGTTATTAGAATCAACATTTTGATAGTCTTAGTAGCGTTTTTGCTCTTTTGAACAAAGAATTCTTATAAAAGCAATCAAAAGATAAAAAACGCTCCTGATACTATCAAAATGTTGATATAATAATATTTTGATGTTTAAACTATCCCTTTAAAAGCAACTTTTTTCCAAAGCCTACCATGAATTCACTGAGGCGTCGCGTCGCGTCGTTTCT